GCAATAAGGTTTTTAAGACCAAAAAAATCCCAGTGAAGGTTTTATTATTGTCCAACCTTGTGGATATGCAATTAGATAATCAGATAATAATAACAATAACTGATATTCCTGTAGCAGTTTAAATTTTTCCAAGCCTGTGCACTTCCATGATCTTATTAAATGTTCAAATTTGGAAAGATTCAAATTTGTAGAGACAAAATCATGAAATGCGGTTACGAATACACACTCTGAAGCCAAGCCCAGGCCCACCAGTAGCTGTGAGGTCTCAGTTAGCGGATCCCTCAGTTCCCTCAACATCAGTGGGAGTGGTTGTACCTTCCTCACTTAGATGTCATTAAAATTCAATGAGTTCGTAGATGGAAACTGCTCAGGACAGTCCTTGGAACTTCATAAGTACTCAGAAAAGGTTAACTGATCATTACTGTCACTGTCATTATCATATTTGTCATCATCATCTATGGTAGTATAAATATGAAGATGGGCTAGAGCCCAGGTCTGCTGACATCCAGTCTTCAATTTTTTTCAACACACATTCAGATACTCCATTAGTGTGGTTGTGACTCATAGAATAACTTGGAAATGCCACATTGTAGACCTATGTCTTCTTCTTTATTATTACAAAGTATATACTTCAATTGAAGATCTCCTGTATTCTAAGGCAGATGTTCAGCTAAAGCAGGAAAATATTAGCAATTCCACATAAAGTCTCTTCAAAACTGTGCAGACAGAACAAGTGCACATAATCATGGAAACTCTCAAATATTCAGCTAATCTGATCAGAAGCAGCTGGCTATTTTGTGTCTGTGTTATATAGTGTCTGTGTTGATATGACCTATAAGTGGGTCTGAATTTAATGCAGAAAATTAACATTTCAACCTCCACATCTTCCGAGATTGATTTTGTCCCACTCGCAGTGGACAGTGAGTTTCCTCTAACCAGCACCTGGAATCTGTAAGCAGCAGTTCACTGGAGAAGTACCAAAATCTGAGGCATGAAGATTTCTCCTGCAAATAAGTGGATTTCTGTAGACACAGGACTTTTTCAACCTTAAACTGCTGACATGTATATATGACTTAAAGAGACAGTGCTTTGATGTTAAACAACAACAACTTTTGGACTTGGAGACAGAAGATAAAGGTCCACGCCCCTTCTTCATGTTACCATGTGTGTGACACTGGCTGACAATGTAACTGCTCTCTGCCTCTGCTTGTACTTATAGGAAAAATGAAGATCACACAGTTTTTTTTCACAGGTTGCTGTGTAGTCTCTAATTCTTATACGTGAAAACATATTGAGACATTGGTGTTATACTCAAGATCCTTGCTTCATGTATCTTCCTAGGATTCATGGGATCAACTTTGTAGTTCCCTTGGAATTTCTTCTCTCTTTCCAGTTAAGACTAGTCGGTTTTGTTCAGAACAAAGACAGAAAACTGTCATAAGCATTATCAATTTATCAGGAAATGGTTTCACCTCCTCTTCCTGGCTCACAGGGTGATTCATTTTGAGAAAACCCTTGGGCTCAGTTCTGAAGACTGACCCATCATGGAGAAGGGACAGAATGGTCAAAGAAGCCACTGTGACCAGGTCAGTGTCTTGAAGGCCACCTGGAGCATGGCTTCTGCTTTCTGTGGCCAAGAAGGACATGATGATCCACTGCTGCTCACAGTTTAGATGTCGTCCGGAAATCATTTCATGAAAGACAATATCTTGTTTCCCTGGGCCCAGTCTCTTTCTCTTCCTCTACCATTTCTTCCCATATTACTCCCCATCCTTCAGCTCATATATTCCATAGGTTCAGGACTGCAGCCTAGTTTTACCTCTAGCCCAAGGAAGGCTTGATAAAAAGTCAAAAGTTCTGGCCAAAAAAAAATCATAATTTAAAGCCTAAAGCTATAAATGCTGTTTAAATCCTTGGCAAATTTGTATTTTCTGCCTCAATGCACAGTACTATTAACAAAGCTAATCGAAAGTTAGTTACATGCAAATTGTGCTTTCGTTATAAAGTAATTAAGAATTGTCCTAAAATTTTAACCTGTTTCATATATTCATATGTCTATGCTCTCTAAAATGTGAATGCCTAAATGACACTGACTTAAAACCTAGTGAGCAATGGAAAAGGATCATTCTAAAATGCCTGCATGGTTTTGGCTATTGTCCTGACAGTTCTGTCTTTGCCAGGTGATATGTCAGTGTTGTAACATTCTGATACATTGCTCATTGTTGCAATTATTTTGTCAGAGTACATCTAGGTTTCAGTGCTTGATAAGTATGAATAATGTGATTGAAAATCTTTAGTTTTCATTGAGTACTGATCAAATACACAACTAATTCTATTAAAGATGAACAGATTTCATTATTCTATCATATATATTCTGGGAGCAAGTAAACCATATTTTTAATTGAAATTCTTTTGAAAAGGGACTTTACATTGTCATTAGAAGATCCTGTACAGACAGCATTTGTAAGTTTCTGGAGATGATCGTTTGAGTGTATTCAGAATATACAAAGTTTTTTAACTTGCTAACTATATACTTAAAAAAGTTCATCAAAGCAATTCCCACAATCTATTTTAAGGACAAATAATGAGGATATGCAACTATCTGTTTTAAGATAATGCCAAATGACTTACATGAAATTAAAGATTTTATGTTTATTTTATTTACATCATTCTGTTGATATTTCCAAACGTCTGTACACTGTCATTGTATCTGCTTTAGCCTTCCTTGCCCTTGAGATGCATTACTATCTCAAGGTGGGAGGGGAGTGTGGCCAGTGCAAGCCATTGTGCCCAGGTAGACTGTACAAAAAAGAAAGAGCTAAGAAAGGCTTTGTGGGTAGCCCTCTGGCCTGCCCACCATGGCGACCACCCAACCGAAAGGGCCTTTGCTTTTCTGCCATAGCTCACTCCTACCATTCAGCTGTGACCTTCCGGAGGGACCACAGGTAAATCCCTTAGCCACAGTTGTCACTGTCTTCCCAGTGCCCACCTTCTTCTCCTCCACTTTACTGACAGTCTCCTGGCAGCTTCCATAGCATAATGGAGACAATATGTTACTGACACCCAGAATAAAACTCTAAATGCATCTCCCCTCAGAGACTTCCTTATATTCAGTGATTAGTCCTATAATACCATCAGGATGGAATAAATGATTTTTTTTCCATGCTATTGGAAACTTTACCGTCTGGTACATACTGTTTTCTCAGGACTGGGTTTCCTAAATTAAAAGTAAAGAGGCTGGACATGGTGGCTCACACCTGTAATCCCAGAACTTTGGGATGCTGAGGCAGGCAGATCACGAGGTCAGGGGTTTGAGACCAGCCTGGCCAACATGATGAAGCCCTGTCTCTACTAAAAATACAAAAATTAGCTGGACATGGTGGTGCACGCCTATAGTCTCAGCTACTCGGGGGGCTGAGGCAGGAGAATCACTTGAACCCTGGAGGCAGAGGCTGCAGTGAGCCTAGACTGTGCCATTGCACTCTAGCCTGGGTGACAGAGCAAGACTCGATCAAACACAAAAAAAGTAAAGGGATTGTGACCATCCTTTTGTTATGCCCTTTATGATTAACTTGTGGCTGGATGAAAACACTTTTATTTCCTTGCTTACCTTTTTTTCCAGAAACTGCATAGATTCCAAAATAATTGTACTAGCTAATTGGCATATTATTCAATATGAAATATTGATGAAAATTTATCTTCACGTTGTTTCAAATACTGATGAAAAAAATATCTTCATGTTGTTTCAGATTTCCATCAGAAAATTAGAGGGAATGGGGAGCTTTAAGTGCCAAAGATTTTATGAACCAATGTTACTTAAAAGAGGATTCATTATTTTTATGCACAGGTGATCCATGTCATGTTACCTCTAGTGTCTCATTTGAAATATAAAGTCATGTTCCATTCTTAAAAATAAAAAATAAGGAACTTGAAATTTGGTCATACTTATGAGAAGGGATACTATTGTCTAAAACAGCCAAAGAGGAGGATCCAGAATGATTTCATGATTATGCTGCAGTCTGTGTGTATACTATTACACTCCATTGAAACGTGACTTTGTTCTATGGTGCAAAGAGACGGGGTAAACTTGTATTGCTAAGTTCTTGCCACTAACACACTCTTCTTGTCTGAGTCCCCTCTCAAACACACACAATGGGAAAGTAGCAAGCACATTCAGGCTCCTCCATACTTACTTGATCCCCAAAGAGAGTATTCAATTCTATCAAATAAAATGTGTTTTTTTAAAAAAATGGGAAAATGTTTGCAAGGATCTCATCTAAATAGAATATAAGAAAACAAAACAGAATTTCATATGCAGCATATAATTAAATAAGACTAGAACCTGATTCTTCATCCCTTATAATATCAGCTACATTCGTGGTACCAATTAAATGCTGTGTCTTGTCTTTGTTCTCCTACTGTGCATTGCTGTGTTGGTGAAGGTAACTAGTCATTGGAGATTATGTGAGACGACAGTTAATTCCACACTGTACAAAGAGCTATTAATATTTTAAACACTGTCTGCCCTTCAGGCACTGAGGTATTACATCACTATTTATACAATAGAATTTGTTGGTGATTGGAAGGTTTTGATTGTTTTAGCATCTCGATCATTAAGTAGGAATATAATTATGTTACCAAAATTAACAGGTACCAAAAAGTAGACTTTTACATTATTTCATGTTTCTGATATTGTCTGATCCCAAAATAACTACTTGATTAACTAATTTGTCTCATAAGAAATGTCTCTATGTAGGTCAGGATGAGATCATTTGAAAAATCCACTCCTTTGAGAACTTTTAAACCACCAGCACCAAAAAAAAAAACCTCATTTGAGAGCTGGAGTCGAATTATATGGTCATTTTAGTTCTCAGAATTTTAAGCGTGGATGGCTGGAATCATGTGCATGTGATAATTCTAGGCTACTCTCAATAAATAATACATGTCATTTCTGCTTCACTGAGACTGTCACTGACTGCTCTAAATGACTTTCAATGCAGGGCCCAGCCTGCTCTCCCAGAGTGCACTTCAGCTCAATTCCAAACCTGAAGGGTCTTTCCAGTATCCGGCCAGCTACCATAGCAACCAGACCCTGGCCTTGGGGGAAACCACCCCTTCACAGCTCCCGGCCCGAGGCACACAAGCCCGAGCTGCGGGCCAGAGCTTCAGCCAGGTAGGTACCCAGTGCTGTGTGGTATCAGTGGACTCCAAGGGGACAGGTGGGGAACGGGCATGCAGGGGATGTGAGATCCAGCCTGCATTTTCATAGGTGTGTCCCTCAACTTGAGGGAAGATGCCCTTTGGTGCTGTGAACGAAGGAAGGAAATAATAAAACATGATTATGGAGTCATGCTAAATTCTAAACATTTCCTTTAGAAATACCTGTGTGTTGTTCATGCTATACCTGTCTTGTATATGTTTCCCTGTGTGACTATGTCAATGTGAGTCTAGTTACTCTTTCTGGGTCTATATGTGATATAAATATGACACACATTCTGAGTTTGTGAGTGTACTCAGAAAAAATACTGAGTATTTTGTCTCCTAAAAAAAGCATGGGATTGTTCTTTGGGGTTTTTGATTTTAATATTAAGAAACATACTATAAGTGTGTAATCAGGTAAACAGAACTGTTTGGAAAATAATTGTGATGAGTTTAGGTACAGTGACATTTTGTGAGGTCTGATTTTTAAATGTGCCTTCTATTGTTTATTTAAGGCATATGCTTGATCGTATAGTTTCACTGCACAAACACATTAGCTGCAGTTAAAACCAACTCTGTAAAAAGAAGCAGCTACCAATCTGGAAGTGATTTTTTTTTTCAAGAAAGATGTAAATGTTATTATACATAAAGGGAGGAGAGAGGGCATGCATATATTTTGGCTTTTATAATTTTGAGATACAAGACATATTGGATCATCCCACCAGAGTTAATTTATTGGAAGGCTGTCTTGTTTTAAGCTTATTTTCAGCAACATGAGCCCTTTTAACCTCTGTGCTTTTGTTTCTGGAATGAAGAGCTGCGAGCCCCACACCACGTTTTCAGCTGACAAAGTTAGTTTCAGCCCTTATGCACTTACTGAATGCTGTCTCTTCCAGGAATCCTTGCTCTGAAATGTTCACTATGCACCACTGCCTCTGTAACCCCTGAGCCCATCTCTTTCACCAATGTATTGATGTTATCCATCCATGCATCTCTCTAACTAAACTGAAAGCTACTTGAGGGCAGGGCTTTTTTCATCTTCATATCAGTAGTGCCTGGCAGGCCACATGTCCCCAAGAAATGAATGCAGAGGTGAGAGGCAAAGAGGGTTAAAACAGCCTGGTATGTTACGGGCACTACTGTGTGCCCATTTATGTGACATTAACATTATTGAAGCAGGAACTGAAAGTTTATTTGGATTTCCACTACTAAAGTTAAATGACTATGCCAGAAACCATTTTGAAAATGCAATTACCTTCTTCCAGCAACATCCTTGTTCATCAGTGGCTTTGCGAGTTTTGCCTTCTCACAATGCTGAATGATAGGGATATGGGTAAGAGGAACTGATCAAACATTTCACTGAGATGAAGGGCCTGTCCCTCCACCCATATTCCACTTTGCTTTAAAGTTTAATCAGAAAGGGTTACTAAGTTATAAAATCATCAAAGCTCTATATTTGAAGTCATCAGAGTTATAGTTTGAAGACGTCGATAAATGTCAATGTTCAAAGATACAACTTAAGCTTGGGGAAAGGTTACTGGTAAACTCACTTACCTGGTAGTGGGTAGGATGCACAGGTCTGAATATTCAAACCAGGACTTGAAATGTTCTAATTCGCTCTGCTAACAGAAGGGAAGCCATTGTGGAATATCTGAACTCTCATTTATTTAGCTCAGTGGTAGATACTGGTACCATGATTTACTTCAGCCGTGTGCTGAAGTATGAAAGCCATGCTTATTGAATATTCTGTAGGGCCTGTGGCTTCAATGTAATGTCAGAGAAACGTTCAACAAATAAGCCAGCATTTTCACTCTGCTTTTAGTGCTATACCCTTGAGAGAATGGAGGCCGCATTCCATTCCAATAATAACACTATTGTTCACATCCCTCTATTTGAATGGTTTTTCAAAGTGTGTGATTCCTTCTTTTCAAAAGTCTTATCTGTGTTAAATCTTATTCCTTCAAGGCTAGGTTAATTTTTAGAATATCCTGTAATCATAAATTGCTACGAGGGCTAATGCAATTCAAATTCTGGCTAATGATGTCAGGCCAAGCAAGTATGGTCAGTAATCAATCAATACAAAAATCTTCAATTTTTTTGTCTAAAAAACTGTAATTCTAAGGTAAAGCAACGATTTTTTTTAATCTGGTTCATAAATTTAAATGCAATTTCAAAGGAGTATTATAAATGCTCAGAGATTCTAATTTCAGTATTTAAAAATATGTATTGAGCATAATAAATGCTTATTCAGTGATCATCACCGGGATTTACCACAGGCCCTGATTATATGTGTGTAACCTGCATTCCCCAACTTATCAGCCCAAAAGTCAAACTGTAAGTCACCCAAATTGCCAAAATATTTGTTCTCTGATGCTACTCCAACTAAAATCCTTAAAAATCATTCTTCTGAGACTTAGGATGAGTTCATGGAGCTGGTCCAGAGGACAGAAAGTGGACTATCCTTCTTATCAGATCCCAATGCCATCCTAGAAAGTGATCTGAGCAGATTTATAGATATCCTTTCCACACTGCCAGGACTCTGCTCAGCTGTGCTGCCAGTTCCCACCCCAGCCTCTAAACAAGTTGTATAGGTCACTCCTCCACAGCCCCTGCTTCCTCCAGGTCAACCTTCATCTTGGTGTGTCTAGGTTGTGATGCATTCAAGATGTTTATCATGTGCCAATTGATGCCATGAGCCTTTATGCTTGGGATGGAGAAGTGAAGAAGAGAGACATGATCCCAGTCCTTAAGGAACTTCTATTGTAGCAGCAGGGATGGAAATGCAGAAAACCAACACAGCAAATGAGTAAATTGCACAGTACAGCAGGAAGTGATGGTTTCTATGGGAAGGAAATGGATACAGAATAGGGTAAGCAAGATCCAAAGTGCACGGGAGAGTGCAGCATGAATGGGACCTCGAGGAGACTTTTGGGCAAATACATGGAGAAGAGGAAGGAAGCTATATGGCTCCCTCTGCACAGTAAATGCAGTGGCCCCTGGATGGGGCAGCCCATATGCTGATGGAGCAGCAAGGATGCCAGGGTGGCTACAGTGGGCTGCGGAAGTTGTGAGGTGATGGGAAACCAGCTGGGTCATTGGTAGGATCCCGTCTTTTACAGGGAGTGAAGTAAGGAGCCAGGAGAAAATTTCAAGCAGAGGAACAACATGACCTACCTTATGTGTTACGAGCATCATCTGTCATATAGTAAGTGATATCCTACAGCTAGTTGCACCTAAGTCTGTCTCTTCCTATTAGATTGCCCTGCTGCAAGAGTGAGAACAGTGCAAGACTTACCTCCATTTCCCTCGTAATTGACCCAGGGCTTACCAGATATCCATCAAGTTCCACCAACGTCAGCCTGATGTTTTATAATTATTCTATACAGGTTTGTGGATGAGTTAGAAGATAAAGAGATTGGCTTTCCTCCAGGTTTTTCCTGCTTCCACTTACATAAAATTTCCATTGGATTATATGAAATGCTAAATATAAAGCTTCTGGAAAAGATGATCCAAAAACCAACTCTAAATATGTTGGTTTTGCCCATGTCCAAACATAAAATGTCTCACCAAGCATTTTGTCCCTCAAACAAAAAAAAAAGAAACTACGCAAGAAATATGAAAATATACATCTGTAGACAGAGCACTGGCAAAGGAGTACACGAGCCTAAAGACTTAAAAATCTTCACATATTCTCTGGTAGAATTGAACAGTGCCCACAATTGCAATCTTAGGGAAATGACCTATTTGGTGTAAGAAATTAAGAATTGTATGATAGTTCTCTAAAATAAAACTGAACAGTGGTAGGTATTCTAGAAAAGCGATACACTTTGAGAAACAAAATTTCCTTTTCTTTTCGATCTGGCTTATCTATTTAATGTTGTGCTGACTTTTATGTCTTAAAAGTCCTCATTAATGCTATATCATGATCATAAATACACCATCTGCTCACTTCTTTCAGAGGGAAATGTGTTCATTGTGTTTAGAACATTGCTTATTGGTGCACACTCATGTCAGGTGGATGTGAAGGCCAAAGGGGTGGGGAAGTTGAAGGCAGAATAAGGTTCCCTGTAAACACCTATGTCCTGAGTGTTGAATAAAAAGGGCGGTTGGCTGGGCACAGTGGAGCACGCCTATAATCTCAGCACCTTGGGAGGCCGAGGCAGGTGGATCACGTGGTCAGGAGTTTGAGACCATCCTGGCTAACACAAGGAAAGCCCGTCTCTACTAAAAATACAAAAAATTAGCTGAATGTGGCGGCATGTGTCTGTAATCCCGGCTACTCAGGAGGCTGAGGCAGGAGAATCAACTGGACGCGGGAGGTGGAGGTTGCAGTGAGCCGAGATCACGCCACTGCACTCCAGCCTGGGTGACAGAGCAAGACTCTGTCAGAAAAAAAAAAAAAAAAAAGGTGGTAAAGACAGCCAATATTACTTCATTCCTGTCTGCTTAATTAGGAAAGAAGTTCTTGGTAGGTAAAACTTGCAGAGAAAAGTCACCAATAATTTTGGAAAACATAAAAATTGCAGAGATTTTTTAGATGTAAATATATACATTATGCAACATTTAGAAGAGAATTCATATTGTTTCACATATTTCCCTTGGCATATTTGCAGACAAGTGGCACAGTATTTGTTTCTAAGATGGTTTCAGGATGACTATCTATTGTGAATCCCCATTCCTTGCTTTGCTTTAAAGTCTTTTCTCTCTATTTTCTCTTTCCAGGATAAGTGTATTTAGTTTGGCTTCAATAACGGAAAGCTTTCTCATTGCAGGGATGGTGTGTGTGTGTTTTGATAAAACATTTTCTCTTCCAAGCATATATTTGGGCCATTACGGTTATATTAAATGAGCCTTTTGCTGAAATAAAGTTCTGTGTAGCATATTTTGCCAGTGCTCATGTAGGTTTTAAGAAAGAGTTGCCATCAAAAAATCTCTCATGACCTATTCTTTAAGATAAATTCATAGGATACTTAT